CGATCAAACGTTTTGAACATTTTTTTGGGACACCCTGTATTACCACTTAGCTACCAATCGGTATGTGCACACCTGTTTCTTCTAAATTTCATAAAATTTCTAGAGCTAATGAGTCTGAAAAAATTCTCACGGCCGTTGAATTTGCTGTCAGAACATAGTCGCCAACTTCCAATTCATCCATGCGTTTTTTCCCTTCAGGTGTGGTCACCCAAGTATCCGTCGAAAAGCAGTAATCTAGATGATTTGTAGGATTTCTTTTCTACCTCAAAATCGGTACTAAGCTTACCGTATTGGAGAACAGGATAGACGACTTCAACCTGTCTTTCCTCAATATCAAGTGCATATTGTTGTGGCACTATTTCAATCGTATTTCCACCAAGTATAGGGGCTTGGAAAGCTTTTGGCCTGCCCTTGCCCTTGCGTAACGATGGTTGACGATGATATTCTGTAAGATCTGACCCGCCTCCACCTTCTGGCTCCACATAACTCTGAAGGAGTAAATAATCAGTATTCAGCCATAAAAAAAAAGCTATGAAGCACTCACTGTACTTAGTTCAGATTGGGGTCGATGCTAAAAATCGATATTTACTCATATAAAAGCTTTGAAGTTTTATAAGATGTCTCACCGATTTACTGGTCTCAAATGCTAGCGCATGGTAGCCTTGAGTGTCGATTTTGCAAGTATGTAAATTGTAATGGTGTGTTCGCCAAGTGAAGTCAGATTTTGAAACGACGGTCTCGAAAGTTGTGCCAAATCGCTTTTGTACCCTTCCAGAAACAACCTGTGTATAGAAACATTTACTGTGAGGAAAATCAAGATGAAGAGGTTATGGTAAATTAACAGTAAATGCCTCAAGTTTTGGTTTATGACAGAAGCGTGTTGTAGAATAAGCGAGTTCATTTTCCTATTCATAAAGTGTAACTAACACTTTTCTGCTCTCAGAATCATTCTACAATTCCTATTTGAAATCTTCAAATTTATTGTGAAACTCTTACTGAGGTGACTGCCCGAGGTGTTGCTCTAGTACGATTCTGTTTGGCTTCGGCTATGGCACGTGTTATTTCGTACTGCAGAGTTCCATCGCAACAGACTTCTCCTGAATAATCTTCTTGAATTCTTGCAGTGTAGACAGACGGTACAACAAAGAAAATCCTTGTAAGTAAACGGGACGGTAGAAAGTAAAAATTGCGGATAAAAATTAGGAGGGCCAAAAATTCCAAACAATGGATATTCAGGGTAAAAGACGTCTTCTTCCAGAACGTAGAAAAGCTTATTGCTTCATAGAGAGCTCTAATAGTATACCGGAAGAATACAGAGTACTGATTTCATCCTTTCCTATGACTTACCGTCCAATTCTTCCAGTATTCGCGGACAGTCCAAGGGAATGGCTGGCCCGGAGTCTTCATGAAATTCCGCATATAGAGGATACTGAAACATTACGAATTTTAAATCATGAGTCGTGGCTAAAACTGACCTTCTTTGGAGTTGCATAAGTCATCAGGTAGTAACGAT